GTGTGTGTGTGTGTGTGTGTATATATATATATATATATATATAACACACACACACACACACAAAAAGACACCATTTTACAGTATTGTTGGTCTTGACCAGTCTAACAATCACCATCATATGTACAAGAGCCAAGCTGTTACATACAGAACAACCCCTTTTTGAAATACCCCAAAATCTTCATATTTAAAAAAAAAAAAACACATACACACAGGCAGTGATCAATCTTCCTTTCCTGCGTGTTCATATTTATAAAATGACAAGTGCACTTTACATTTACCTAACAGATGGTAAGACTGCTGGTTTAAAGATGAAAGAAAACGTACCCCTTCAGTGGTATAAAGTTTGTATTTTATGTTAATGAGAAAAAGGTGCTACCTGTTGGATGCTCCTCTAGCAGACCGGTTGTCATGGTCCTGGTTCTTAAAGAGCCTCATATTCTCTTCCATGTTTCTTTTTCTTGTGTCCTCCAGGTTAGAGTTACGCAGGCTATTGTTCATCCTTGGCTGCCGGTACGGATTGTCTGCTAGAAATGTATTTCTCGTAGGATGTGGAGGTCTAGCCGCACTCTCCCTCATCAGGTACCGGTTAGTCCCAACACCGGTGTCAATTTTTGCTGGTAAAACAACAATATATATATATCCGTTTTATGCAAAGTGCATTAAATAAAAGAACCTTACACTAGTAAACAGAAAACTGAAGCTGCCCCCTCATTACCATGGAACTAATGGCGATATCTGTATAATTGGAATATGTAGATGTGAATAATCAACCAAAGGATATTCGTGGTATTACAGGTTAGATCATGAATATTCTAAAATGAAGCAGCAAATAAATGAATTTATTATAAAAATGTATTTCTTGTTCCTGTTTATTACTAAATGCAAAAACCCATTTTGTCCTGAATTCCGATTGGCTGCTATAGGTAACTGGGCAAAGTACCAGGTTCACTCATCTCTGTGTGGAACATAAGCGGCATGTTTTTGCTTTGCTGCCCCTTATCCCTTACCCAAAAAGTACCATAAAGAGAGCGGTGGCAGAAGAGTAGAGAGAGAATGTCAGTGATATGCATGCTGCTTATATTCCATAGGAGTTACTTGAACCGGTTGCCTCACCCAACATGTGCAAAGTAAAAGGTTCAGGTTTAGGTCAGTGTTCATTTCGGCAACGAAAATTTTTCGTTTTAGTTTTTTGCCCATTTTTCTGTGACAAAAACGAAACTAAAACAAAATTAAAAGTGTAGTTAATTAGAACGATTTTTGTCCACTACTCAATTTTCGTCAAAGAAATCAAATGAAAATCGTTGTCAACAATTCTCATTATTGATTATTTGCAGCACTGCTGTTGCCGCTCTGCTAGGCTGTTCTCCTCCCCGCTGCTGCTGGCTGCTGCAGTCTGTGTCCCTGTATATGAGGTAAGTACAGCCCCAGCCCAGCAACAGCAGAACAAAATAGAAGTAGGGAACAACGTCCCTGATTAGCAGGAAAAGGAGGAGGACGCAGAAACATATAGTCCCGGTTCCTCCAGGGCCAGCCGCCGCGGACATAGGACTAGTCCGTCATAACCTGTAGATAGGAGTCCGAGTATCGGAAGTGGAGTCAAGCACCCCATACAGAGCACACTACCTGCTGTGTTGACATTCAGCTGCCTCAGCAGCTATATCCAGTGAAGTGGAAAGGTGACACTAGGGTTCTAAAAGACAACCCCCCCCTTAAAGAGAACATGTCACCTCCAATATTGCCTATATCTCGATGGCTGTCCTGGAAGATGACTGGGGAAAGTTAAATTAAAAAAAAGGACTCCAGGGATATACAATAAAAAAAAAGAGTTTGGAAATGCTAGAGAATTTCTTAAATAATACATGACACTAAAAATAAACCTATTAGATTTTAGTCAACTAAAACTAGACTAAAATAGAAAATAATCTGAGGACTAAAATGTGACTACAAATAAAAATTAATTTTTGTCAAAAGACTAAAATGAAAATGAAATTTGGTGCCAAAATGAACACTGGTTTAAGTAGCATTTCAAAACAAGAACTCTTTTACCTGAAGGAGGCAGAACGTTTTGCTTATAATTTACTTCTTTGTACACTTTGAATTGAAGTACAATAAACTGAAGCTGCTGCCATGAAATAGAATGATGGTTCTTTACTTCTGTCAGCTAAAGTATCCTCACAATGCAGTGACCTTACTGACCTGTTGTGGGACCATGGCGGGAAGGGGTAACTGCTGGAGATTCATAAGTTTCGTATGGCTTCTCGTCATATGTTGCATCATCAGGAAGCAGCTCTGGTGTAAAAGAGCTTTTTCCGGAGACTGGACACCTTTCACACTGATCCTAAAACACAAAGCAAATCAGTAAGTTCCCACGGATTACAGATACAAAACAATTCTACACCACTACCGTATTCACCAGCACATCAAGTATAAATAAAATACTTTTCATACTCTGCCATATGAAATTAGCCCAGGATGACAAAAGTTGCTTGACTATGCTAGTTAGGAAGGTGGTTGCTAGGTAACTCCTAGCAACCACCTTCCAGTTGGCATTCTTCTGCAGGTTAGAAAACTAAAGCCATCTGTAATGGGCAATTTAAGGATTTCACTGTCTTGGGTATACATTAGGGCATGCACCGTTACTAGTATGCCGATACATCGATACAAATGCTCCCGATGCCTATCCCGATACCGGAACTTCTTGTACCAGGAAGCCGGGCGGCGAGTCATTACACTCTAACCGGCTTCTTGATTGGCCGGGAAGCTGCCTCCATCCTCATCAGGGAGCATAGAGCTGGCTTCTCGGCCAAACGAGAAGCCGGGGGGCAGGTAATGACTTGCCTCCCTCTCCCCGACTTCCTGATTGGCCAGGAAGCCGGCTCTACGCTCCCTCGTCACTTGGCGACAAGGGAGCATGGAGCCGGCCAATCAGGGAGCCAGGGTACAAGTAATTACTCGCTGCCCGGCGAGTAAGCCAGGAAGCCAGGCGGCCAGTCATTACCAGCCCCCCCGAGCTTCCTGATTGGCCCTGGGGATGTGGAAGCATGGAGACGGCTTCCCGGTTAATGGGGAAGCCGAGCAGTGAGTCATTACACGCAGCCCGGCTTCCTTAATGGGACTTCCAGTATCAACGAGTACCGAAAAAAAAATCAGTACTTGTACACGATACTGAAAAAATGGTATTGGTGCATCCCTAGTATACATTATCTGCAGCACAATGTTGTAAAGCTGGCCATACACTAATATTTTCTTCGTTCAACCTGTGGGAGGAACAAAAAAAAATATTGCAGGTTCCTTCATCAATGCATTAATCGAGGAATCTCCCGCTGTCTTTATTGTATTCTGACAGAGGACGCTGGCGCATGCAGTGGTGTGGGGAAAAGCCTCGTCTTTTATTCCATTATGAAGCTGAACCCCTTTGATTAAGGCTAGATTCACGCATTGCCTTAGGACAGCCCATTCATTTTGAGTGAGCTGGCAACACACCTCAAACTACACCCGACTATTTTATGGCAACAGAGTGCACCATAACATGCTGTAGTGCATTAATAGGGGTTGCAGTGTGATGTATGAGGGTACATTGCTTTAGTAGGTTGGGGTGCCATTCAAAATGAATGGTGTCGCAACACAATAACACGCGCAAGTTAGGTTAACGCAACACAAATGTGTCAAGCCAGAAGTGTCGTGCAGCTTTAAAGCTCCTGCCCAGTATTAATTATTGCTGGTGAAGTAGTAGTCACAAATCCTGAAGAACACATGAGCCACTTATTTCCACAATACCTGGTGATGGAAGAGGATTTCCCCCTCCAGCAATACGCCGCAGAATTCACAGGGAAGGAGGACCATTTGTGCACTGTGGACAGGTGGGGAGGATGATCTCACACTCTCTCTAGGAATAGAGGAAGATCTTCTATTGGAGAATGCAGCAGAAAGTTGGCATCCAGACTGAAACCGTAAAAGAAAAAGAATCAGAAGGACAAAACCCACAGGAACAGTTATCTTGACTTGGGTGTTTTAAGTAACCATGTTATTATCTTGTATGTGCTTGAAGGAACTGTTCATAGTGCTGTTCCGGCTTTTCATGAACAATTAGTCAACCATGAAAATTCTCACTTCTAGATATGTGACCTACCACCTATATTATGGAGACAAGGTGTGGTGTTCTGTGGTCCTAACACACTTCCTGTCCGAGGGCAACAGTGCTGCACCACCATAGGTACTATTTAGTAAGTGAGGAAAGGAAGAGCGTTACTAGCAGCAAATAGGAGAAAGGCTGGAAAAAATGCAGCCACCACAACTAAGGACTGTCCACAAAACATCTTACATCACACAATACCTGGCATTCTGTGATAATGTCACATCCCCACCCCCTCTTCTCCAAATCACAGAACAACTTGTATTCTTTGAAAAAATACAAGACATTTTGTGAATGGGCAAGCAGCAAGGAGGGGCAGGGCGTGCGACCAGAGTCATATGCCTCACTCCCCGCAAGAACAATGTTGTGTTGAAGATGGCGTGCTGCAAGGTAAGTTTTTTTTATACTTTGCAGCAGCCCTCGGCACATAATATGCAGCTTTTTAATGATAATTTACACACATATTGCAGTGTGTACATTATCACTTTTCACAGAATGTGGCTTTAAGGGCCCATTCATACAATCATGTTGTGCTAACACACGTTACATGCATTGGTGCGATACAGTGCCATACATTCTGAATGGCACCCCAATGCACCTTGTCGACAGACGTGTATTGCCAAAAAATGATGCATTCACCTTTTTCAGTGCATTTTGGTGCAATAGGCAGCCTATGCAAATTGTACACCACAATAGTGTGAATGGGCCCTAAGGGTTACCTAAAAATAGCATGGTGGTCAAATATACAGGCACAATCAAAGTGTGTTCAGGCTGCCAACTGTCAACTGTACTACAAACATGTATGTTTGGTTCAGCCAAGAGAACATATGTAAGAGGGGGGGGCAGTCAGATGTTCCTGGGTCTGCTTAGCTTTGGAGGATGGGGTGGGAACAATAGCAATCAAACAAGGTTTTGTAATCTTTGGAAAGGCTTGCTGATGCATGCAATGTGATGAGAGAGGTTGGCTTATTGGTGTCTGCTGCTACCACAGACATGAGAACATCATCCATAATGGTGGAAAATGGTCAGGTCAGGCAATAGTCATCTCCCGGCCATAGCCAGCCATAGCCGATTACATCTTTATACAGTCACAGCTGCTCTGTTACGTATGACAAAGTAAAGGATCTGATAACTGTACCTGATGTAAAATAAGATCCTCCACAGGGAACAGCTCTTCACAGAACTCACATGGCAGCTGGGTGCCCTCAGATGGAGGGACAACTGATGAAATATAAAAATGTATTATCTTATATGCAATAACAAGCTTTGTTAATACATTAATGTCATTGGATGCAACTCCATGCAAAGAAAAAAAAACCTTCTGTAGCCGGTTTCAAATGTACGTAATACAACAGCTGACATCTCTCTTTTTATTTACTTCTTTCAATCCTTTGCGAGCAAAATCAGGCTAAATTATATTGCCACAGTGCCGTGATTCTGATATATTTCCAGCATTTGGAGCTGGAGTAAAAAGCAATTAGTCAAACTTACAGCAAGGTGAGAAAAAAATAAAAATAGATGTCACCCATGACAGGATGCGTATTCCTTTATCAAAGAGCAGGCTGGAGATCAAGGAGAGATGTGGAAAGCTGCAGTGCTGCAGGGCTCTGAAAAGTGGTGCCACCCTCCTGACTATTCAGTGCAGTTCTGGTGCATCACTCACAGGTGTCACTGAGCATTATTACAAATATTTTGGCAGGTAAAAGCAGTCCAACTGCACCTACAACAATTAAAGGAAAATGCAAGGCAGCCAACCATAAAGTTAACCATTTAAAAAAATAAAAATAATGTGAAAAATTAAGTACACCCCATAGAAATTGATGACTTTTTCCAACATATAGGAACAGGCAAACATTAGATCAGAGGATATGCTCCAATAGGAACACAAAGACATATGCTTTTTCAATCAATCATTTAACAAAAATATCAACAGATTTAATGGTGTACAGTGGAAATCGTAAGTGCACCCTTGGCATCAAAAGCGGATACAGCCCCTGTAACAAAAATTACTTCAAAATGGGCATTTTGTGTAACTACCCACCAGTCTGACAACAACTCCATGCAAAATTCCTTCAGTGGCAAGAGGTTTGTGGGTTTGCTTGCAATAGCTGCCCATTTCAAAACTACCCACCTACAAAATGTAAATAGGAATCAAATCAGGGCTTTGACTAGGACAGTCCATAACCCTCGATTTCCTCTTTTTGAGCCATCACTTTAATCTTCATAAGGGTTTTACTTCAACTTTTGGACAAATGGACTCACTTTTCATCAAGCACCTTTGATATGGTGCAAAAAAGTATAGTTGACTCAATGACTTGACTGAAATACTGTCTTTGGTTTCCAGCAAACATATCTACCGTTTCTGTTATCAAACAACTCCATCTTTAATTGATCAGTCTTCAGTTCGAGAAGGCCTGTTCTTTACCTAATTTGTTCAATAGCAAACTGTAATCTTGCTTTGATGTCCTTTTTGGACACCAAAGGCTTTCTCTTAACACACACCTCTCAGGTTGAACTGGTGCAATCTTTTTCTGATTGTAGATGCATGCATTGAGACCGTAATTGTCGATTACATTTTGCACCTCGTTGGTTGTTGGGTTGAATTCTCTAGCCTGGCCAGTCCTGGACATCGGCAAAATATCCTTGCCAGACTCCTAGGCATCCATCGCTTTTTTTCTTAGGGTCTTAGAGAGCTCTGTTGATCATGGCACGATGACACCACCACACTATGATGACCCTAAATGTCTAAAGGTAAAAAAGGAAAACTTTTCTTTTGGCTTTACTTCTTTTGGGTCACAGGAGTATACTACTAATGTACGCCAGTGCCCAAAAGTCAACTAGTGCCCACTATACGCTGATAGCGCAGAGCTGCACTGCAGCAGAAAGGGATCTCGACAATATTGTAGGAAACCACTTGGCTCCCAGCTGGCTCTGCCGCTCTAGAGCCAGCTGTGCCCGATCCGTCCCGTCTGTCCCTCCAGTGAGCGTTGGACGAACAAAGGGAGGAGATTCCCTGGGGAGAGCGATGACTGAAGGTCACCTCTTTTTGCAGGGAGAAGCCAGTGATCAGTGGCTACATGGCCGTGCAGCTCTTGATCTATAAAGCCGGCCTGTGACACTGGCAGTGTCCCAAGTCAGCTCTAAGTTTTGGGGAGAGTATTTTTTACTTTCCCAGTACTTCTACTTAAATTAGGACAGGTTCCACCTCCATAATCCAGGAGGCGGTTCGAATTATTGGCACCCAATCTGGAACATCAGATTCTAATTGCATAGATTTGAAGTGGGGGTAGGTAAGGTAGGTAAGAGGTGTACTTACTTTTTCACATGACAGATATGCATTTTTGTTCATTTGAATTGACAATGAATGCAGCGTTATTGCATTGCATGCATGTTATTTTTAAGTGTCATTTATTCAAGTATATCACCTTTATGTGTAGGCACTATTTGAATCAAGATCGAATATTTGCCTGCTCAAATATGTTGAAAAGGTCAATTTCCATGGGGTGTACTCACATTTTTACCAAGACTGTATATATTTCTGCTGCATTAAAAAAAAATCTGAACTCCAGCAAGAAGCTAAATAAATACACATAAAGGAACTGTTTTACCTGCCAAAGTATTTTTTACTTCTGTGCAGCCAGTTTTGAGAACCTGGCACTCCTGGCAGACAGCAGTCAGATCACAGCTACCATTACGGTAGCAGCTGCAGAAAGAAGTGAAGGGGAATCCCTCAACCAGGACAGAGACAGCAGCAAAAACTTGATAGAGGTTCTGTCTCATCCCTACTCAATTTAAAATTAAGTTGGACTTTATTCAGATATTCAACATTTGACTTTTTTCTTCAGAATATGGAATTTTGTAACAGTATATTTCAATATCACAGAAATGGAATACGTACAGGAAGAAGTGGGTACATTCAGTTGGGCTGAGTCATCATTATTGATATTATTTCCGTCGCGGGAAGTCATCCTGTTCACATTATTTGAAGAGTACATATTTTTCCAGAAGTTAGGATCCCTTTTAGGGAAGGAAGTTTCAGGCTCAGGGCTGAGGCCAGTAGTGTTCTGATGGGTCACAGGCTGGAAGAGATCAGAATAGGGCGGGACACTAATTGCATCTTCTTCCAACAGCTCTGGTGGGATGTCATCAAATCCATCTGACCATGTGATCTCTTGGACAAGGAAAGAATTGAATGTGAAATGTTATGAAGATTATCCCTTAGGTCAATTAATACATATTATGCAGTCGATGTGACAAGAATTACTGAAAAGTAAGACATTTAAAGTATTAGGCACACATATGTCATATGAATATATAGCCCTATCTGTCCTCTAAAAAAAAACAAACCAATATATAATGTGCGTGGGTGCACTTGGTAAGAAAGTACATTACTGCCGTGGAAGAATCGCACTGCAAAAACGTCAAAAAAGTGCTTCGGCCATTAACGAACAGAAACTAAAAACAAGCTCAGTCATGAAGGGGTTAACTACCATGGAAAAGCAAATGATGGGAACAGATCATATGCACCTTTGGGTATGTAGAGATCTCAGCTCTGACAAGTGGTTAGCAAAAGTATTTAAAAGCTATCAGTTCTTTTTAGAGTGAAGAACATTAGGCAGGACAGACATATGATCAGGACAAACATTTAAAGCCATCAGATATCTTTCAGTGTCAATAACTCTGGGCAGGGCAGGCAAGTAGTCAGAACAGACAGGTGGCCATTATGAGCATTTTGAGCTATGAGTTTTCGCTAGGCAGGGAAGACATTCGGAGGAACATTTAGAAATATGAAGTTCCTGTCATGGTGAATAATTCTAGGCAGGGCAGACAAACTATTTTGCGGTATGTTAGTTTTTAGTTTCTGAAAGAGGGCCTGGTTATTGGGGTTTTCTTTTTTTTTTTAATGTAGATTCTTTAAATTTTGTTGCGGCATTAAAGTAGAAATGCAAAATATTGACAAGAATAATGAGCAACCATGGGTAGCTAGTAATCATATGAAATAGCACCAGATAACATTTTTAGAAAGACATTTGTAAGTGTCAAAGGCCTTTTTGTTTTTTATTATACAGGAAATGAACAGGGGGAAGTAATTTCAGTGAGAGGTGTGCACA